TTTACATATTTTTTTAAAAAAAATTAAAAAATTAACTTTCAACATACTTTTCAAAATGACCCATAATATATGAACAAACTTTAAATGTTATGTTGTTATTTTGAATTTCAAAAGCAAAACCATTGGACAATTTAATTTAATTTGTTTTATTTTTTTTGAAAAGATAATGTTCGTGTGTATGTGTGTGTGGCCATGGGAATAAAATCATAAATTATGGCACGGCTCAACGTCAAGGTGGGAGTGGGCCAATTGTGGACCAGCACAGTCGTGAAAAGGTACAAAGGTAGGTAAAATTATACATCAAATTACACAACTACCCCCCTTCTCTCTCTCTCTCTCTCTCAAAAGCAATGTGATGATGGTAAGAGTCAACATAAAAGAGTTGGTAGGTGAATAATTCTTGGTTTGATAATTATTTTTTTATTTGTGTTTTTTAAATATTGTTATCAAAGAAGTATGTTTGACAAATATTGAAAAAATAGATTTTTTTTTTTTTGTAAATTTTTAGATCTTTTTAGATTAAAAGGACTTTTTTTTTTGTGTGTGTGTGTGTGTGGGTAGTAATAGATTAAAAGGACTTGAAAAGTAAAAAATAAATGCAAATTAAAAAAGTTTACTACAAACAAAAAATTTGAATTTTTTTTTTTTAAACATTGTCAAATAGACATAAATCTTGTTAAAATATTTATTTTTCTTACAATTGTCAGTTAATAGTCACATGGTCGAACTTTTTGGGAACATACTATTTTAACAATTTTTTAATATTTTATGAAAATATATGCAGAAAAATAGAGAGAATGATGTGACAACTTACAATAATTTTTGATTTTTTGGTTAAAATAATTACTCCCCAAACGAGGCCTAAATATTCTAAAACACAGGTAAAAAAGCCGTAGCTAAACTAGTCATAAAACGTTTTTATTTTTTTATATTTTTTTCAAATATGATATTTGAGTTAAATTTTATCATAACATATAATTTTAATTATTTTCCTAGATATATTAGTACATAATATTCATGACAAATCGAAAGAATATATATATATATATATATAACAAGAAAAAGCTGAATCAACCATCCCATCTGGCTAGGACTTTTTGATTAAAAAAATAAAAAAGACAAAATAAGTTAATAAGACAAAATATTATATTCAAATTATAATTATTTTTACTTTTTATCTCACAAAAATTAAAAAAGTTTAACCAAACAAACTTTTTATCCCAAACTAAATAGTTAAAAAGTTAAAAAATTAACTAAAAAAATCAATTATCAAACGCAACTTTATTGCCTAAACTTGCACCACAAGGTTGGGAAAAAAAGAAAAAGTGGAAGGTGAACCAAACAAATTCCACATACTAACAATCACAACCACACTCTCATTTTGCTTTCTTATTCCTCTCCTTTTCTTTTCACTAATATTACAAATTTAAAATTTTTATCTTAAAAAATTACTGAAAATTGTCAATATATAATTCAAATTTATTTTACACATGAATCTTACAATATACTTGCAAATTTATTCAATTTCCACCACACACTCAAATTCTGAATACAAATCTAAACAGTAATTATGAGTTTCCAGACTTGAATCAGCTAGTTTGGTTTGGATTTTCAGGATTTACTTTTTAGAATATTGATTTTTTTTTTACTGAATTTTTTTAATATTCCAAGCATTTTTTTTAATTTTTAGATACATCTAACATATATATACTTAAAAAGTATAATATTTGTGGAAAAAAAAATGTAGAAAATTCAACAAATACTAAAAATATAAAAAATAAAAAATAAAAACTTAAATTTGAATTATAACAAAATATCAAATCATTTAAAACTCCCAAACTCCAAAACTACTTTCAAAATACACAATTAAAAAAACTAAAAAAAATTTCCAAACTCTTTCCTCAAGATTTTTTTTGAAAATTTATCTCCCAAAACCAAACCAAACCAAACCAAACACACCCTTAGATTCTTTAACAGTCACAACTAGGAACACAATAGCAAAGAAATGATAGAGATTGGGTGAAGAAGAAGGCAAAGTAGCTAGAGAGAGAATAATGGCAAGGCTCTCACATGGATCTCTATATACTTAAAAAGTATAATATTTGTGAAAAAAATCTGTAGAAAATTCACTAAATACTAAAAATATATAAAAAAATTACGAAAATATAGTACATTTTTCGTATTCTTGTGTATTTATTAATTTTTTACAAATATTTTACATTTTAGATACATCTAAGTAAGGTGCATCTAAAAAAGTAAAAAAATTATTTAAAATTTTAAAAATATTCACTAAAAAAATAAAAAATAAAAACTTCAATTTTCAAAAAATTAAGTCTAAAAAATTGAAATCAAACATAATGATTGTTTTTTCTTTTTCTCAACCAAACCTCCCAAGCCTTCTAGAAACCCTAATCTCTCTCTTATATGATGAATGATATATACAGCACCAATAGAATAAAGAACCACAACTACCAACTCCATGCTTGTACGCACAAGAATAGACAAACCCACTTGTACATTTCGTTTTCAAATGCCCTCTGCAACTAACTTACTAAAAAATTGATTTCCACATTAGACGATGAATCCAACTAGGTTTTATGCAAGATGAGAATTATTTTATTTTCAGTAATACTATACACTCAGGAAAAAAAAATTTAAAAATTAAAATTTTGAATCAAATCTAATCTAATTTATTCTAATTGTGACTCACACAACATCACATTTAAATATTTGTATGTTTGATTGAATTCTTATAATATGTTTTTTGTAATTTAGAAAAAAACTAATTTGGTGAAAAAAAATGAAAAATGAAAAATACTCATTATTTCATATGATTTTCTCTTTTTGGGAGGAGATGATTTTGAAAATTTCAAGATATGTTTTCAGCATTTATTTTTGTTAAATTAATTTATAATTTTTACAAAAATAATTAAAAAAATAAATTCTAAAAAATTCAACTAAAAAAGATGTTTTGCTTTGTTTTTAGCCCCTCCATGTTCAATGGAGATTTGAATTAAAATTTCCCATCATCAAGCAATGAAAACACCTAAAATTTGAATTATATCAACTTCTTTTCATGTTTATATTAAAAAAATACTGTTTTGCAACGTCCATACTCGTCTCTTTATTATACACTAATTTAGCACAGTTTTATTTATTTATTTTTAATATCCAACGAATCTAAGTCACTAGCAAGGCATATATAGGTATAAGAATCAGCAACAAAAACCCAATTAGCCAATCTTAAAAAAATGTATTAGTGTGACCTAACCACCAAAACGTTAGTTCCAACAACATAATATAAAAAATGACTCGTAAATGTATTCTGGTACTTGTTGTTCACTGAGTTAGGGAGGATTTTGATGAGAGGAGATTGAATTATTAATCTGAAGTTGTTCAGAGTTTAGGTAAAAGAGAGGGCAGAGATTGAATTATTAATCTTTGTGTGTTGTCTTGATACATATACATTTTTTAAAAAATATATAGTAGCATACTTTATACCTACCTGAAGGTTACCCATTGTTAATTAATGTCATTTTTAACCTTATTGTATGATGATACTAATATCATCAAAGGGACCACCAGCCACTCCCCCTCAAACCTCTCTCACCAACTCGCATCTAGAAGCAATCAGGCTCTCTCTCTCTGTCTCTCTCTCTCTCTCAACTCCTATATTTTTTTTACAGTTTTATATTACTAAAATACTTGAAAAAGTATTATTTATTTATTTTTTAGTTGGGAGTTTGGCAAATGTTTTTTAATAAAAATTTGTAAATAAAAAATAGTTGTTAAAAAAATATTTCTAAAATACACGGCGAAGTATTATTTATTTATTTATTTTTAGTTGGGAGTTTGGCACATATTTTTTAATAAAAATTTGTAAAGAAAAAATAGTTGTTAAAAAAAAAATTAATTCCACTAATACTTCATTAACTATTAAATGCAAACATTTTTCAGAGATCCATGTTACAAACAGTGAAAACCACAATTACTGAAGTCATATATATAAATTCGAACATTTTTTTCACATGGATAATTCTAGTGATTGAGATTTTTCGTGTTTGTATACTCTTTCATAATTTTTTAGTTTAACAAAAGGGAAATTCTATGATACACTCCTTTTATTTTTTGATAACCGAGTATCTGGACCAACGTTTTTTTAGAACGCATACCTCGATTAATCTTGAAATCCTGAGTCAATTGACTAGGCAAAAACGCAGTGGCCCGCTAATAATCCACCTAGGGGTAGTTAGGAGTGGAAATCAAACTCAAGACATCCTAGGTTTAATACACTCCCCTTTAGAGTGTGTACTATATGTCTCTTTGGTTATAACCTTTGGGTCAATAGTTATGTCTCACTGTATTGTTAGTTATGACATATTGTACTGTTGATCATGGCAAAATTTTAATTATAATTTAAGAGTTGTTTGGTTATACCTCATGTTTAGTTATAACTTAGTTTTTTTTAGTTATGACTCTTATAGTATTGAATTATGTCATTTGTGATAATCAAACTCATAAATAATATAAAAAAAATTATATAATACAAATATACTTTTTAAACATATTTTTTAAATTCAGTGATGTGTCACCAATTACTTTTGTGATATATCACTAAAACTAGAAAGTAAATTTTTAGACTAGAATACTAATCCTTATAATATAATAATATATATTATGACAGACACCAGTATTTCCCTTTAACAAAAATATGGAATCAATCCTGATATACACATGAAAAGTAAAAGAAATGTTTGAGATCACAGTTTTAAGTTTACAATTCATGCATAATAATGTAGAACAGGAGTTAGATCCTATTTTATTGGATGGGTAACAAATTGTGATTTTTTTTTATTATTATTTATAAATCTTAAATATTTTCCAAGAAATAGTAACAAAAGCTAATTATATATATATATATATATAGAGAGAGAGAGAGAGAGAGAGAGAGAGGAGAGTCAAAAGCCCTATAAAACCCCATTCCCAAGTACTCACAAGGGCCGGCCTAATGATCCAAGCCACCTCAAATACTAGAGACCTCATCACCACTTCCCCCTCCAACCCAAAGAAACAACAGAAAACAAAAACAAAAATAAAAAATACGAAAAAAAAAGAAAGAAAAAGGGAAAGAGAAAGAGAAAGAGAAAGAGAAAGATCTATCTCTAATAATTCCACTTTGTTAATCTTCATCTATAGTGTCCTCCAATGGGACGGTCTCCGTGCTGTGAGAAAGCTCACACCAACAAAGGAGCCTGGACCAAAGAAGAAGATGATCGCCTCATCTCTTACATCCGATCCCACGGCGAGGGCTGCTGGCGGTCTCTTCCCAAGGCCGCCGGCCTCCTCCGCTGCGGCAAGAGCTGCCGCCTCCGTTGGATCAATTACCTCCGACCCGACCTCAAACGCGGCAATTTCACTGAAGAAGAAGACGAGCTCATCATTAAACTCCACAGCCTCCTCGGCAACAAGTAAGTATATTCAGTTAGTTTCCAACACATGAAACTACTCACAGAATAGACAGAAATGGATAAGATAAATCCATTCATGTCTATTCTGTATTTCATTTTTTATTTATAATTTCTATGTTGGTAGCAAAACTGAACTGAACTATTAATGTTGTTGCCATAATAGATGGTCGCTTATAGCGGGAAGATTACCAGGAAGAACGGACAATGAGATAAAAAATTACTGGAATACCCACATAAGGAGAAAGCTCATGAACAGAGGCATCGATCCGGCGACTCACCGGCTGATCAACGAGCCGGCGCCTGCAGCCACCGATGCCACCACAACCATATCTTTTGCTACTGCCAAAGAAGAAGAGAAAGTCATAACAACTAGTGGTGGGTTTAATTGTCCAGACTTGAATCTTGAGCTGAGAATTAGTCCTCCATACCAACACGAGCTTGAACCAGTAAAGATTGGAAGTGGTACTGTTTGTTTTTCATGCAGTTTGGGGATACAAAACAGTAAAGGATGTAGTTGTAGCAATGGTGGTAGTAGCAGCAGCAATAGTACTGGTTCTGCTTATGATTTTCTAGGGTTGAAAAGTGGTGTTTTGGATTACAGAAGCTTGGAGATGAAATGATGTCTGAAATGGGGTTTTTTTTTTTTTTTTGGAATTATGCATTAGTTAGAGGAATTTGGGCAAGAGATTGTTATTAGGTTAAAATCTCTCTAATTTTTCTCTTGCTTGTACTATTACTAGTAATGCATAATATTAATAGTTCAAGTACAGTTGACAAATTTGGATATTCATTCTAGGAATTGATGAATGTTTTCCATTGATATCAATAGTTGTTTTTTATCTTCTTGTTTCTTGTTTTGTCTTGTGTATTTGGTCTTTTTTCTTTTAGTTTATTTTTTCATAAAATTAAATGGTTTTCAAATTTCAAAGAAAGAAAATGCATGAACACAAGGCATTTCAGTATCATATTATTCATTTTCGATGATTTTGTATTTTATGTTTTTGCAAACAAAAATAAAATAATATGAAAATATTGAAAGCCCGCATTATTTTTGTTTTTGAGGGGAAACAATTTTGGAAAATTCAGAAAATAATTTTAAAGTGTTTTCTAAAAAAGGGGTTATTTCAACAACAAAAAAATCCTTAAAAATAGTTTCGGATTAATTTACCAAACAAGTTTAATTTTTTCTTCCTCCTTTAGATATCTTCTAAAAAGCTAATTCTTCTTTTTTGTTTTCATTTTGTTTTTTTCTATCTTTGTCTCGTATTGGTATGCCTTTGTGATGAATATTGGTTGCAAGTATGCTGATCCATGTGACTTGAAGAATTTCAAGACCTCACTTCGTTGATCTTTTTTTTTTTCCCATTACTTTTTTCTTTTCTAATTTGGGATTCTTTTTTTTTTTTTTCTCTTTTCAAAAGATGAATAGATTTTTCAAAAATATTATTTATCATGAATTTTTATCTCAAAAATATACTATATATTGTGGATTTAAAATTGGTAGCATGTAGGTCACATTCAGAATAAGGTTCATAAAGCTGTATTTGATTTATAAATTTGAGTAAAAATTTGAAAACCAAAAAGGTGAATGAGATGTGGATGACAATTTCACCCACATTTCACTAATCTTATTTATTTATTTATTTTTATTTTATAAATTTTTATCAAAATCTATAATTCAAATACAACCTAAATATACTTTTTCTAGCCTATTTTCTAAATAAAAAAAAATACTTAAGAATATAAAAATCGATCATAGAATAGAACACAACTGGATTCAAAATAACAAAAATCGATCACAGAATTAACACAATTGAATTTGAACATAATACAACTAGATTTTATTTTTTTTGTGTGAATTTTACATCAATATGGCAAAAAGAAAAACGAGTGAAACATCTCTCTTAAACTTTGGGTAGTAGAAGAGAATTTTTTTTTATTAATTAAAGTCTTTCGATGAAATTTTTCTATGATCATGCTAAAGAATTTTTGAAATTTCTCTGTGATCATATCAGAGAAATTTCTTTGTGAAAATTAAAATTTTCTATTGGGACGAAATTTTTTTATAGAAATATTGAGGGATCCCAATTGCTATTAAAATATTATATGTTTTTTATTTTATAAAATTTTAATATTAACTATTTAAAAAAATGATAAAAATTTATATCTAATTTTATGGTTGGTTGAATACGTAGGTAGCAGAATTGATTTATTTTTTTTTTTTCATGAAAAAGTTGGAGTCAATGGATAAGCAGTGAGAGGAGGAGAAGGAAGGTACAGAGAGAGAGAGAGAGAGAGAGAGAGAGAGGTGGGTAACCTATCCCTTCCCACATAAATAAAAGCACTAAAACCTAATAAAAAATGCGTGAAGAAACTAACAACTTTCCGGTTTAGTACTGTCTCTCTACCAACCTAGCAATTATTACCTTACCCATGAGCTAACAACCAAACCCCATTTCAATTTTTTTTTTTAATTTCACAAATAAATTATAAAATCTATATAATAAGCCACAAAGATTTTGAATTTATGTCAAAAATACATGTGAGATACATTTTGATTCAATGACTGAGACTAATCCCAAGTTTATATCAATGGTTTAGATTTGCTTTGGATGACTCACATTTCCTGCCCAACACATTTCTATGTCTCCCTCATACCCTCTGTCTACTATCTGTCTTTCCATACCCTTTATCTACTTTCTCATTCCTATTCTCTGATGAGATGTGAAGCTTGGCTTGGCTATACCATTTTGTAGAAAATATAATGTGAATGAAAGACAGACAAATACCAGTCCTTTGTAGTCCATTCATCATCGTTTGAGCAGCTTTGCTGGATATCAAAATCATAATGGCAAAGGAAGTACATGCCCGTTCTCACCTGATATGTTGATGAATCTTGATCAATCACATTTTGACGAGGAGCAGTGATCTGTTGGACCCTTTTTTTAATTGTTGGGTTGAAAACATGACTTAACTGCTGGGTTCTTCTTGAATTTTTCTTCTTCGGGTAATTGTTCTTCTTCTTAAATTTTTTTTTCCTCTCTCAGCTTTTGCCTTCATCAGAGCTTTTGCCTTCATCACTTTGGCTGCTTGGCTATTCACTTCGTCTGCTCGGTTAGTTTATTACTTTGGTTCTTATTGTTTTTCTTTTGTTATTGCTTTGGTAACGTTTGGCTTTTGCTTTGATATTGAGCCAACTAATATATTGCTTCTGCATATGATTTCGGCAAGAATTCTGCATATGAATTCTGCAGAATTTTGGCTGATCAATCCACTAATTTAACCACATTCTCTGAGTCACTCAGAAGCCTGGATCGGTCATCGTCCGCAGCAGCTTGGACTTGGTTTCTGTTAAAAAGAGATGAGAGAGATAAAATCACACACACAGCACAGAAGTTCTGGGACTTTATAATTTTTTTTTTTACATTAAAAAATCTTCTTTGATAGTGATGGTGTTGTGTGGTTTGTTGTGAGCTATCATTTTGTATTTTGTTTGATTGTCCTAATTATAAAAAGGATCTGCTATTTACTCTTTTCTTTTACTATAATTTTGACATGGTTTCAGTTTTAATTTTGATTTTGAAATGGGTTTGAATGATTTCGGTTTTGATTTTGAAATGGGTTTGTATGATTTTGGTTTTGATTTTGAAATAAGATTTCGAATCTTTTGGTATTTATGTATTTCTATGTATTTCTATTTATGTATTTTGATTTCAGATTTGTATGATTTCGGTTTGTATGTTTGCGGCTCTATATTTTGGTTTTGAAATAGGTTTCTAGATAAATACCAATCACCAGGAAGCAAGGCTAATCTTTTGGTCAGTTTACCAAGCAACTGAATTAGCTATATACATATCAATCACCTTTCTAGATTATTTCTAGATAAATTATAATTCCAATATTCAAAAATCATCCCATAAGAATGTCTACTCCAACAGTATTAACTCAATTACTCATCCCTAGCAAACTCTAAGATCCTGAAAATACAGAGAGTTTGTTTACTGTTTAAGTGGAAACCCCCAAGCTCACAATCCTTCAGAGAGTCTAGCAGCAATGTTACATTGTTGTAGATTGACAATTGACAGCATCACAATCCTTAGATGTTAGATGTTAAGAGGAGGAGGACAAGACATGAAGTTCTCCTTTTACGGTTTTGGGATCAGCATCTTTTCTTTTCTTTTCTCCCGGAAAGAATGCCACAACTGAGTGACTGACTGTACAAAGCCCACTTTCATAACTGGCTGAATTGAGAGTATAGAAATAATGTTTGAAAACTAGGAAAAAAAAGACTTCACCAACAAAATGCTCCAATTCAAATATTCTGAAACTTGTTTATTACATTCTCATCCTGCAAAAGAGAAGCTTATTGAAAAAAATAAATAATGAGAACTAAAACTTGATAGAGCTTAGCAATATGCGGATCGAAAAAGGAAAAAAATGAGTTTAGCAATATCAGTAATTTAGTGGGAAAATTCATGTTGCTCAAACCTGTTAATCCACGCATTATATACACAGGACCATTGGTTAAATTCAATGGTTAAAACTCAACCAATCAACTTGAGGTGGTGAGTTTGAGTATGAGGACAACCACTTTATGCATATCATGTCAAAGTTTAGGTCTACACCCAATCTAACCTTGACCCTCATCCAACAGGGGATTAAATTGAATGTACTTTTTGGGCAATCCACACAGTTAAAGCAAGGGAAAAAACTGAAATCAATATTTTGTCATTACGCAAATATGTGAAGGCCAAATCCACCCCACAAATGCTATTGCGAAATTTAAGTTGCCCTCTCTGCCTGGCCTCATGTTGGTCACTAAAACAATATCTATCATGTATCCTATTGTACCGTTGCTTATATTTTTGCCTATTGCAATCTCTACGTATTATATTTTCTTCTGTGAAATGGTTTTCAGGGATTCATGAAATGGGTTTTAGGCTGTGTTTAGTTTCATGTGTTTGCTAACTATTAATTGTAAGTTTTGACATTCAAACTATTTGGTGTTGTATTTTGGATCATACATTTAGTGATACTTCAGTAATCATAAACATTTAGTGATACTTCAGTAATCATAAACATTTAGTGATACTTCCTGTTCCAGTAATCATAAACATAAGAATCCAATAATCATAAACACTCAAAAATCCAGTAATCCAGTAATCAAAATTTTTTCACTTCCTTTAATTTTTCTTTTTTTGTTTTCAAATAAGAAGATACTTCCTATTGGGGAATTTTCAAAATGGATTTTCAAATTTGTAGTTTATTTTTGAGTGTTTTCAAAACCTTCAATGTTTTTCTTTGGAAAGCATAAAATAAGTTTGGGGCTTTGTTTCACATCGGAAAGAGGGGAAAACATAGAGCACTTAATAAAAAGCTACATGGAATATTCCTTTGAATATGGTATTATGGGAAGAATTATTATTATTATTATTATTATTATTCCTTTGAATAAGTTTGGGTTCAACTGTTTGATTCCTTTAGGCACGGGCATAAGTGTCTCTCTCTGTCTAATAATAATAATAATAATAACATTAATTTGAATCATCAACTAAGAAAATATTTGGTGTATTATATAAAAAGATTCTGTATATACAAATTGTGCATAATTCAATTTTAAAAAATTTGGTTTGTTTGTTTACTTAATTTGTGTGCGTGTGTGTTTAAAAAAAAACGGTATTCCTATTTTTGTGTTTATGTGTTTATAATTTATTATGTTTTCGTATAATTTATTATGTGTTCGTATTTTGGTTTGTTTGTTTGTTTGTACTATCACAAATGTTCGCAATT